GAGAACACTTCTAGCTGCAGATAAACGCTTAGTAAGTGTTTGAACTACGTTATAATGGAATAGAAGACATCACAGTGTCGATAAACGTAGCGTGATTGTCAACTCTCGTTACTGATTGAACATACCCATAATAATCAACATTCTTCAAACAATATTTGCTTGAACTTACCCATTTCAACAGGTTTACACGTAGCGAGTTTCGCAAACGCTTGCTGTCCAGTTGTTTCTTCGGTCGTGTGGAAAACATTGTAGATTACGTTAGTTTTTTCTTTGTAAATTCGTTGGGAACCAGAGCAGGAAAGCGACAAGCAACTGCAATGCGATGTCTTTTATACGATTTATTATTCAATATACACATATAATTAGTACTCATGCGTAAAAAGCGAACAAAAAATATTCTACTTTGGTTAGTTATTAATGTAGTAGGATTATTTTATAAAAAAATTATTATTATTAAATAAAAAAAAAATATTATTATTATTATTATTATTATTATTATACATATATTATTAAGTATATTATTAAATATATTATTATTATTATTATTATTATTATACCAGTTCACTTCCATCATTTAATGTACATCCTATTTTACCAAAACATTCTCCGCGATTAGCCCAAATAAAACATTCAATATTCCTAGTTGGATCCCAAAATTTGCTTCGCCTCAAACGCCTTTTAAGCTTGACCCCCCGACCTATCAAGAGATTACAAACGTCATACGTAAAATGAAACTGTCTGGCTCACCATGCCCACTTGATCAGATATCAATAATCTGTTTTAAACGATGTCCGTATTTACGTTCCTACTTGACTGAGATAATCCATGCAGCTTGGTCACGCGGTGTTGTTCCATCTGAATGGAAAAAAGCATGCACAATATTAATTCACAAGAAAGGAGAAACAAACGACCCAGCAAACTTTCGACCAATTACTCTTGAATCCATCCCGCTTAAAGTCTTCACATCATGTCTTCGAAATAAAACATTTGAATTCCTGTCAGACAATAATTACATAGAACAAAACATCCAGAAAGGTTTCACTCCAAAACTCTCAGGAACACTAGAACATACTGCTCAGATGGCACATATAATCAACACAGCGCGTACCAAGCAACGATCTATAGTTATTACATTACTCGATCTTAACAATGCATTTGACGAAGTCCATCACAACCTCATTTACGAAGTCCTTGATTATCATCACGTTCCTAATCACATAAAGAATCTTATCTGCAGTCTTTACACTGATTTCCAAACTTCCATCATAACCGAACAGTTTAACACCCCCTTCATTACAGTCGGTCGTGGCGTTCTTCAAGGCCATTGTCTCAGTCCACTTTTATTCAACATGTCATTCAATACTTTCATACAACATATTAAATCTGAAAAATACCGTCAGCTTGGATTTTGGAAATTAAGTGAAATTGGCATTCCGTGCAATCCTATACATTGGTTTCAGTTTGCAGACGATGCTGCTGTCATCAGTAGCCAAGAGAAAGAAAATCAAATGCTCCTTAATCGTTTTACAATCTGGTGTCAATGGGCTAATATGATTATACGCGTTGACAAATGTTCAACATTTGGCATTAAAAAACACTTAACTAAATCTATCCAGTATTTACCCAAGCTTTTCGTTAATAACCATCTTGTACCCAGAACCGAAATGAGCAAATCTTTCCGTTACTTAGGTCGCTATTTTGATTTCAATATGTCCGATGAGGAACACAAATCAGAATTACTCGACGTGTTTAACGACATCATGAATAAAATTAATGAACTACCCTTACACCCGAATAATTCTACTATACAGTCGTTACTTGCTGTCAAAGATATCCTGGGACTTCACTGTTTCTGATATATCTAAGACCTGGATCTGCGAAACGTTAGACAGTATTGCGACAAAATATATCCGAAAATGGCTGGAACTTCCTGTCTCTGCAACCCTTAGCAACGTGTTGCTTCCACAAAATAAATTTGGTCTGAATATTATTCTCCCTTCGACAAAATTTATCCAATGTCAAACTGTCTCTCGATCAGCTCTAAAATACTTACCAAACGTAGATATTAACAATTTATGGGCGGTGACGAGCACCAACAAGAACGTCCAGTATGACATTTACAAAGACACAAAAGACGTACTTAAGGCAGTTAGAAAAGAAAACGAACAAAGACTTCAAAACCACCTCATTTCGCAAGGTTCTTTCTTTTCCAGTATCATGAATCATTCCACATCCACATTCAACTCTTTATGGTCATCCGTTCAGAGCAAACTTCCGAAAAACATTTTTAACTTCACCATCCGATATATCAATAACACACTTCCAACACGAAAGAACCTATCAAAATGGGGACTATCATCAACTTTCGTAAGAATAAAACGGTTATACCCCCAACTACATTAGGGGAGCAGTCTCTCACTAAAGTAAGATCGTACAAGCTACTGAGTAGCTGGTTCGACGATGACCTTAAATGGAAAACGAACACTGAGTACATCACAAAAAAGGCAGCTAAGAGACTATACTTTATGAAGATTCTAAAGAGTTATAATGCGCCAAAAGAAGCTCTGAAGACTTTCTACGTAGCAGCAGTGAGATCAGTTTTGGAATATGGCGCCCAAGTTTGGAACGGTGGGTTGACAATGGAGCAAAGCGAAGATATCGAGCGAATCCAGAAATGAGCGTTAAGGATAATTTATCCGGAACTAAAATACCATGAAGCACTAATGGAATCGAACCTCAAAACGCTAACCGACCGACGCGATGAAATGTGTGTCCAACTTATTAAGGACATGTCAAACCCGAATCATAAACTTAACCACCTCTTACCAAAGAAAATTTCCCAAATAAAGCAACGAGAAACGAGAATGAATGAGGCAACGTACTATAACTTTGCATGTAAAACAGAACGTTTTAAACATAGTCCAATTGTATATGCAATTGGCACAATATAATCTTTATATTGCTAAGTAAGCATGAGGGTTTATATATTATAGTGAGTAATAACTAACATAATATAATGCTATCTGTAAATATGACAATAGTTTTAAGACTTTTTACATTGAACTAGCTTTAGTAAAGTAGAGACCATAGTATTAATACTTTTTACATTACATTTTATCATTGTAAAAGTTCTATCACTGTAAACATCACTGTATTTTAGCTTATCTAGCTATTTAGTGAATGTAATAAACCATTATTATTATTATTATTATTATTATTATTATCCGATTGCTCTTTCTGCTCCTCACCTGAAAGGCTGCTCCATGTGATTGCTGGATGTAAGACATATTTAGACGAAGGCCGGTTTACATGGCGACACGATTCTGTTTTAAATTTCCTCGCATCCACTCTTACTGCTGTGAAAAATTCCACACTTTACGCGGACATTCCTGGTTTTATGAATCCATCTGTTATCACGGGAGATCGTTTACGACCTGACCTTCTGCTGGTGACTGAAAACAGATGTCTATACATCCTCGAGCTTACAGTCGGTAATGAATCCAATCTGCAAGTTAACGCCAATCGTAAGCGTCAAAAGTACCGTGATTTAATCAATGAGCAGGAAGCAGATTATGATAAAGTCAAGTTCGTCAATCTATCCTTGAGTACACTCGGAGTTTTTGGCCGATCTTCTGAAAATTTCGATGGCATGCTAAGTAGCCTTAAATGTGATGCCAAGTATAGTGAATACATAAAAAAGAAAATCGTGATCATATGCATACGAACATCATATTATATATTTTGTAAACGAAACAAGGTGTGGGATAACCCAAAATTAATGTTAATATAATCCTTCTTAAAATAATTATTGTACAATAAATATATAGTATCAATTCAAGTAGACATTGATAAACTACCTGTAAAGCGAGGTTTATCATTGTAGTTGTATATATCTTAATAATCAATAAATAAAGTTTCCATTATTATTATTATTACTAATAATATTTATAATATATATTTATTATAAATATTTATTATTATTAAAATTAATAATATTATTATTAATATTTATTTGTTATTATTTACTATCATTAATATTATTAGTAATATTTAATATTATATCACTGGAAAAAATTTTGAAAATCCATAGTAGGTCATAGAATGATTGTATGGACCTTTATTGGAAATAGAATGGATTTTGGTTATCCATAATAATTGTATATTTCCATAGTATGGATATAGTATGGAAGTAGTATGGATATACTATGGATTTTGTGGTGCAATTGCAAATTTCATAGTATGGATTTCACTTTTTTTTCCCAGTGTATTATTAATATTTATTATTGATTTGCATTTATATATTTTGCATGCAGCCTGAAATAATTATCCTTGCTTTGGATAGTTGATACTTTTTCGACAAGTCGTCTTTTTTCACCCACTTTAGCAGGCGGATTTCAATGTTGAACAGTGTTGGTTTTTGCACACTTTGTCAACCGATTCCCTTTATCATTTGAGAACATCAGTGCAGCTTTCAAAGTGATGGGCACACAATTTGCAGTTCTTGTGCAAGTTTTGGACTTTCGTCAAGAAGGCCCTCACGCCTAGAAAGCACAACCCATTCTTTGGACCTAAATAATTTGGAATTGTATAGTGTTTCCTAACTAGCTGACATTAGTTCATTCCTGGATATTGAACACAACATTGATGGAATGATCGCGAAGCTCGCAATAAATTGGACTTGTTGACCTACCTGTTCCTGTCTGATGGAAAACGGAAAAACTCAGCTCTGGATGACTACGTTTACTGTTTGAACAGTTTATGGCAGAGCAAAATGTGCGGCTCCCACCTTTCTCTTTTGATTGTTTTGTACTATTTGCAGCCATTTACCGTTAAACACAGAGAGAAATACAGACAAAATATTTTGAAAAGCAACCTTGATGGTAGGGTAAATGGAAATGAAAGGGCATCTAGTCTAGACATGTAACAGACATCATATAGTCTAGACATCAGAGGCCTACTCTGGGGCGGTAAATCGCCTTAAATCGCCTAAAATCGCATTAAATCGCGGGTTAAAATTGTCAAATTTCTCTTAAATCGCCTAAAATCGCTTAAAATCCTGGGCATA